GCAATAGAAATCGATAATCTAAGAGATTACAGCATTCTGTGGAAAGTGCCATACAACACCCCTGTTGCTTTGAAAGATTCAAGCAGTGCACTTCCTTAAAACAAAACTTACTGTGTATTACTAGGGTGACTCCAAGAATAAGAAGAGAAAAGAAGAAAAAGACAGAGGATGCAGAAGAGTGTAATGCCACAAAATGTGTTGACTGTGTTTTTATACTATTCTGTGAGTAATAAATATTGGATTTATGACAAATCCACTTTTCAGCTTCTCCTTCAAATTTGAACACCTCTACTTACAACATTTTTCCATTTTTGGGGCTCAAAGACCTTCTAATGTATATTATCCTTGACAAAATCTTTCAAACTTAAAAGCTTTGTGAATGAGATGTTCATGCAGAGTAAAAACACACATTTTATCTTATGCTGAAGATAGACAAAAGAGTAAAACATGGATGGTATACTTGAATTTTGCAGAAGCGTTTAACACAGTTCCCCACACACGGCGAATGTGTAAGGTAAAGTCTACAGGCTTGGAAAAATCTGTATGTATGTAAATGGATAGAAAACTGGCTAAAAGATTGTATTCAAAGAGTAGTGGTTAATGATTCATACTCTGAATGGTCTGGGGTTGTCAGTGGTGTACCGCAGGATTCAGTGTTGGGACCCTTACTTTGTAATATATTTATAAACGATATAGGGTCTGGGATTAAAAATACAATTTCAGTCTTTGCAGATGACACCAAGCTGTGCAGTGGAATGACAACATTACAGGATATCTTCAACTTACAAGCCGACCTCAATGCACTGTGTAATTGGGCAAATGAGGTTTACTGTTGATAAATGTAAGTTTCTGCACTTGGGGCTAAGAATATGTATGCTTCGTACATACTGGGGGGGGGGTACAATTAGGGCAATCAATGGTCGAGAAGGATCTGGGAGTTCTGGTTGATCACACACTTAATAATGGCATGCAATGCCAAGCTGCGGTTTCTAAAGCGAGCAAAAAAAGAGGTATAGACTTCAGAGAGAGAGAGATATCATTTTACCCCTGTACCAAATCATTAGTAATACCTCATCTGGAATATGTAGTTAAATTTTGGGCATGGAGGAGCTCAGCTATGAGGAAAGATTAGAGGAACTGAATTTATTCTCTCTTGAGAAGAGGAGATTAAGGGGGGATATGATCAACATGTATAAATACATCAGTGGTTCATATAGTGGTTCATATAGTTATTCACCCTGAGGTCATCATAGAGGGCAAGGGGGCACACTTTACATATGGAGGAGAATAAATGTAATCTCCAAACATGGAAAGGTTTCTTCACAGTGAGAGCTGTGAAAATGTGCAATAGATTCCCTCAAGAGTTGGTTCTGGCCAGTTCAGTGAATTGCTTTAAAAAAGGCCTGGGTTCTTTCCTAGATACATAGAATATAACTGGATACTAACATTTATAGGTAAAGTTAATCCAGGGAATATCCAATTGCCTCTCAGCAGGAAGGAATTTATTTCCCTGCAGGAGCAAATTGGATCATGCTTTGCTGGGATTTTTTTTGCCTTCCTCTGGATCAACTGTGGGTATAGGATTATACATTTTTTTTTTTTAAATGGTTAAATTGGGTAGGCTTTTGACCTTTTTCAGCCAGACTAATTATATGTAACTATATGAAGGATCTGCATGTCACCTTATAGCACACACTGCAATTCAGTTGTGCACCTAAGTTACTCAAACTTTCTTCCTCTGTGCTTCCTTAAGTGCTGTGATTGGTGATTCTGAAGTCATGATGTCTTACCAAGTATTGTCTTACTAAATGACTGATTACTGATACCTATCATCCTCATAAAACATGCTGCAAAACTAACAGTTTTTCTTTCACCGTGCCCATGCAATGTCTCACAGTGAAATCCATCTATTGCAGGTTCTAGTGTTGATGTGGCAATGGTGCTGCACTGCTCCTGAATTTAGAACAGAGTTGCTATTCCCATGTAGGCTGGGGCTAGTTTAGCTACAGCTGGTAAAGAAGATGTTGCAGAGGGCAAGGCTATCAGCATTGTTACTACTTATTCACAAACCTAGCTTGTCAATCAGCACCTGGCCATACCTAATTTTGCCTACTTTAGCTTTCTGGCTTGCCATCGCTGCCATTATATATATAATCTTTCCATTGTGAACTGCAGTGTCTGGGAGGAAGAGCGTATGAAACACAAGAGAAGGAGGATTTGGCTCCCTCATGGAGGGCTAAGGTAGTTTTTTGTTTGCTTTATAAGGCTGGTGCCTTTCACAACAAACATACACTAGTAATTGGATTTGAGAATTGTTCAGATAGGAGCATTTAGTTGTACTTGTTCTTATTACTCCCATGATCCTGTACTGCCATAGAAGATGTATATATATATATATATATATATATATATATATATATATATATGTATATATATATATATATATATATATAGGATAAGGGGTAGGTAACTTTTTTATTTCTTTTTTGCTAACTTTGTTTAAAGGGTACCTGTAGGAAATCGTAAACCACAGCAGTACTAGGTATTAGACAACTGATTTACTAAAGGAATGAGAATCTTCACACAATAAATCAAATAAAAATACACTTTAATTATCCAATTATGTATAAAGCAACTTTCTGTTTACTTACTTCACCTGTACATTGTTGGGTATTCAAAGTGAACAAAAATTTATTTTCACATTATTAGATAGCTGAAATGAACATTTACTCAATTTATTGAGTAAAGATTCACAACTTAAGTAAATCAGCTTTACTCTCTCAACACATACTTCTTACCTCATAGCATTTTTAATTCCAGCATCATCCAATTATAGCAGTGTAATATATTTTTATGTATTTTTTAAGTAGCCTGCTTTTAAACCTGCTTTTCAGAAGCTAGCACCCATGAACCTAGAGATATCATACATTTTATCCTGTGTTTCTCAGTGTTTTTACAACAAACATCATCAAACTCATCTAAGACAGTTATAACAATAGCAAATGGGTTATATGGTACTCCAGTTCTAGGGCACATGACACTGAAGCTGCAACACTTGGATACTGACATCAGCAAAACCCTCAAAGTAACATCTCAAAGGTGACCAATGATCCAACTTAAAGTCACCTGACCAGGAACCAGCATGCCACATGATCTGCTTATTACAACTGTTGGGTAAGCTTTTTCCAAACTTCTACCTTATAATTTTTGGTTCAATTTAACAGAAAATTTATCTTTAAAAAGAGGTGACTTACTGCCTATAGTTTATAATTTTTCTATTAAAAATACCTTTCCATTTCAATTTGCAGCTCTCTATGATATCCTAAAACAGATACAATGTCAAATACTGCGTCTTTATGTTCATGACAATGTTAGGGAGTTCCTGCTACTGTAAAGGACACACCTTGAAATATAATTTCCGGCTAATGCCCTTGGTTCACTGCTGTTCAGTTCATCATGGGACTAATAATCAAATTAATCAAAGCCCACAAGGGGAAAATAAAAACTCAATTTGTTCTTATTCTTTTTTGCCAAGCAAATTAATCTAGATGGTTAGAGAGCTAGATAATAGAGTTTAATAGAGATAATATGATAATTGTTAATTCAACTTACCAACATATACACCAAACTTAAAAAATCATTTTTGGTAGATTGACTCCTTAAGATTCCCATACACTTTGTATTTATATGCCAAAACCTGCAGCTTGAATGCAAAATGTGGTTTATCCACTTGCTGCCAAATCACTTACATGTTCCTGATTGACTTCAAGTGGCTATACCAGGGTTATGACTGCAGCTGTATGCCATAACCCCAATATGTATTTTTTCATCCAGCAATGCTCTTTCATCTAAAAGCAATTCTAGAGGTTGATCAGCTGCTGGATTTCTTTTACAGGGAGCAGGAGGAGACCACCCCCCTTCTGCTGCCCACCGGTGCTTCTCTGGGCTTTCCCAAGTGATTGCTGGCAGGTTATCACAGGGCTGGCAGAGGACAGTATGAAAAATGCAACAACCACCATTTTATTCTCTAGAACCTCTACTTAAAATGTATTTTTAAAATAAATATTTTTTATTTATATATATATATATATATATATATATATATATATATATAGTTTGGGGGTTCAGTGTAATTTTCTAGGGAAACAAATGCTGATTTTTACTTGTAAACAAAAAGTATTGGAATAGGCCTCATCTTCATGAATTAATCAACTACATAACTTTACTGACTCATATTTTTCTTTAGAAAGGCATTACTTGAGTGTTTCTAACTCTATAACTAGTACTGTTAGCAACATCAATTACGCTGCGACTACTATCTATTTGACATGAGCAGTGTCCAAGGAGCCTTCAATATTTTAAGCATTGGATAAGTAAAAAATGTGCTACGTTTATGCTTTGAAAACCATGGCTCAGCATTGGAATGGCTGTTTTGAACCTTTAGGGGAAAAGTTTGCCACTAATTGGATGAAGTCCAATTTTACTGAAGTAAATATTTTTCCCAGTAAAACTACTGTATTCTACTACTATACAGCAAATCAAATGCAAGAGAGAATAAAATCTGTTGTACTGAAGCCAGATATAGTTAAGTGAGGTCTGAAGACCCTCATATATATCCCATGAGTACTGTGGGATATAGTTGCTGTATTCCAATATAACCATAAAAACAGCCATTGTTCTTGATTAGATTTTAATTTCCAACCTAACCAAGATCTAGAAAGTTTTAATAAGTTTGAAATTGAAATTAGTGAAATGTTTAAATTAATCTGGGGTATTGTAAATCTGAGCAACTGATGTGTTAAAAACATGAACATAATTGATTGGCAGGTACAAAATGTTCCCTATTACATAGTATAACTTAAAAATACACTATATTGCCAAAAGTATTGGGACAATCCTCCAAATCATTGGATTCAGGTTTCCAATCACCTCCATGACCACAGGTGTATAAAATCAAGCACCTAGGCATGCAGACTACTTCTACAAACATTTGTTAAAGAATGGGTCGCTCTCAGGAACTCAGTGAATTCAAGTGTGGTACCATGATAGGTTGCCACCTGTGCAATAAATCCATCCGTGAAATTTCCTTGCTACTAAATATTCCACGGTCAACTGTTAGTGGTATCATAACAAAGTGAAAGCAACTGGAAACAACAGCAACTCGGCCATGAAGTGGTAGGCCATGTAAAATGGCAGAGTGGGGTAGCGCATGCTGAAACGCACAATCCACAGAAGTTGCCAAATGTCTGCAGAGTCAATAGCTGAAGACCTCCAAACATCATGTGGCCTTCAGATTAGCACAACAACAATGCATATAGAAATTAAGGGAATGGCTTTCAATGGCCAAGCAGCTGCATCCAAGCTTTACATCACTAAGTGCAATGCAAAGTTTCGGATGCAGTGGTGTAAAGCACGCCGTCACTGGACTCTAGAGCAGTGAAGGCGTGTTCTCTGGAAGGAAGAATCATGTGTCTCTGTCTGGCAATCCGATGGATGTGTTCTACTGGCGGTTGCCAGTAGAACGGTACTTGCCTGACTGCATTGTGCCAAGTGTAAAGTTTGCTGGAGGAGGGATTATGGGTGGGGTTGATTTTCAGGGGGGCGACAGCATACCAAGACATTTTGGACAATTTCATGCTCCCAACTTTGTGGGAACAGTTTGGGGATGGCCCCTTTCTGTTCAAACATGACTGCACACCAGTGCACAAAGCAAGGTCCATAAAGACATGGATGAACGAGTTTGGGGTGGAGGAACTTGACTGGCATGCACAGAGTCCTGACCTCAACCCCATAGAATACCTTTGGGATGAATTAGAGCGGAGACTGCGAGCCAGGCCTTCTTGTCCTACATCAGTGTCTGACCTCACAAATGCGCTTCTGGAAGAATGGTCAAACATTCCCATAAACACATTACTAAACCTTGTGGACAGCCTTCCCAGAACATTTTAAGCTGTTATAGCTGCAAAGGGTGGGTCAACTCAATATTGAACACTACGGGTTAAGAATTGGATGTCATTAAAGTTCATGTACGTGTATAGGCAGGCGTTCCAATGCTTTTGGCAACATAGTGTATTTACATATTCACGCTAGCTCTTTTAGATATTCTGTTCTAGAAAGTTTCAGCACAGTAAAAGTCTACTAGCTGTCTTTGTTTATGAGATGGCTGTTTTTTTTTTTCTCTGTTTTCACCTGGTGATCTGGCCAGTAACACACCTCCTGTATTAGAGTGCCCCCATTCTGGATGAAGAAGCATAGAAGCACCTTTTGACAGCAACAGTGTCAGTCTGGGGGGAGGGACTGTTAGATCTACTAGCAGATTTATACACACTAACACACTGAAGCCAAACTCAAGCTCACACTGCAGGTTTTTTTTTAATTTTAATAAAGGTTTTACATGAATAAATACAAGCTGATCCTTGTAAGCACCCCTCTCAGTGGTATAGGGGCGGACTGACCATTCGAGCACTCGGGCACTGCCCGAGGGCCCGGGGTCAGTAGGGGGCCCCATGAAATGCCCCTGGTACCTTTTTTATAGGCTTTTTTGAGTGTGGGCAAGGACACAGGGGCCCCATGATCCCCTATTGCCCGGGGGCCCCATGAGTTGTCAGTCCACCCCTGCAGTGGTATATGGCTTGTCGCAGCACTCTGCAACATCTGCAGCAGAGTTTGTTCTATTGAGAAACAACACACTTACTGGCTAGATTACCAGGTGAAAGAAAGCCAAAAAAAGAAAATGAATGCAACCATCACATTTAATAATTGGTACACTGCAATATAATAAATGTTCAGTTTTGGGTTTAAGACCACCACTTTAATTATCAGTTTTAAACTACATTTGAACACTATCCATCCTAACAAAGTGTTACAGGTTTAGAAGCTAGGCTTGTTAAGGTGAGGGGACTCAACCTGTCCTTTAGGACAGAGTTACGCCCAGTACACGTTAACAAATGTGGCTAGTTCAGCAGGAAACGGATGAACTTTAGTCAGTGTGTACTGCTATCTGTTCAACAGAAGCCGATCTAATGACCAGCTTCTGTTGAACGGTCATTCTGGAAAACCAGCATTCAAACAGTGCTTACAAAATAGCTGCAGCACTGATTTGTGTATTCTAATGTTGGGGGAACTCTCCACTCTCAGAATTCAATAGAACAGTGGGGGAAATCCCTGCATCAACATCACTTGTGTTGATGCCAGGATCTGTAAGGTTTTTTTTTGTTTTGTTCAACCCGCTGGTTGAATGAAAAAATGTACATGTATACCCAGCTTTACTCTGACATGGTTCTGAAATCCATGGAGTTTGGCATGAGTACTTCTACTCAGAATCATCTAAAATGTAAGAAATAATAAAAATAAATCTTTTTTGGCATGCTGTGGGAATAGGATTAACTAGCAAACATATAATGCGATTTTCTCAAATGTACCTGCAAAAGTGAAAATACATCTTAAGTTTATTTATTATTAATAGATTTCAAATTATTCTTTCCCACACTGCTATGGGAGGGCAGAGCACCAGCTGTGCTCTTATAATGACCTGTAAAAAAAGTATAAATATATACAGTATATATATTTCTAACAGTAGATAGGGCAGTAAAGATGTGGAACTCTCTTCCACAATCAGTGGTGTCATCAGGAAGTATCAGTAGTTTTAAAAGACTCTTGGATGTGCATCTTAGAGAACACACTATACATGGATATTGGAAATGATTCACACACCCTCCCAGGTTGAACTTGATTCAACCTTACCAACTATGTAAGGGTAGCTATGGCACTCTACTCTCACCCACAAAGAAATCCATACAAATCCAAAACTGGTTTAGAGGCACTCACAGGTCTTGCAGAGGAGGAAGATCAAAAAAGCAGTGTTTTTATTGTCAACGTTGTGATGAAGCTCAGTCCACCTTTCTCAAGACATCTTGAGACATACGGACTGAGCTTCAGCAAAACATTGACAATAAAAACACAGCTGTTTTGTTATCTTCCTCCACTGCAAGACCCGTGAGTGCCTCTAAACCAGTTATTTATATATATATATATAAATATATATATATATATATATATATTGTGCCAAAGCATCTATGTTTGAGGTAAATGCCCAGGTACTCGCCCACGAAGGAATCCATACAAATCCAAAACTAGTATAGAGTCTTCTGGGCCTTGCAGAGGAGATAAATCAAAACATCAGTCTTTGCCAATGTTTCAATGAAGCTCAGTCCATCCCAGCCTTGAGAAAGATGGCATGAGCGTCAATGAAACATTTAAAAATAAAAACACTGCTGTTTCGATCTACCTCCTCTGCAAGACCCGTGAGTGCCTCTATACTAATTTTGGGTGTGTATGGATTGCTTTCTTTCTAGTTTTATATATATATATATATATATATATATATATATATATATATAAGCTGCTCAAATAAATTAAAGGAACACTTTGAAAACATATCAAATCTCAATGGGGAAAAATATCATGCTGGATATCTATACTGATATGGACTGGGTAATGTGTTAGGAATGTAAGGGTGCCCCATAGTTTCATAGAAATTAAAATAATCAACCTACAAAGGACTGAATTCAAAGACACCCCGAAAATCAAAGTGAAAAAATGATGCAGCAGGCTAGTCCATTTTGCTGAAATTTTATTTCAGTAACTCAAAATGGTACTCAGTAGTTTGTATGACCCCCATGTGCTTGTATGCATGCTTGAAAATGTTGGGGCATGCTCCTAATGAGAGGACGATTTGGTGTCCTGGGGTATTTCCTCCCTGATCTGGACCAGGACATCAATGAGCTCCTGGAGAGTCTGAGGAGCAACCTGGCGGAGTCAGATGAACCAAATATGCTATTCCAGAGGTGTTCTATCAGATTTAGGTCAGGCGAGCGTGGGGTATCAATTCCTTCATCCTCCAGGAGCTACCTGCATACTCTCACCACATGAGGCAGGGCATTGTCATGAACCAGGAGGAACCCAGGACCCACTGCACCAGCGTAGGGTCTGACAATGGGTCCAAGGATTTAATCCTGATACCTAATGGCAGTCAGGGTGCCATTGTCTAGGCTGTAGAGGTCTGTGCGTCCCTCCATGGATATGCCTCCCCAGACCATGCCTGACCCACCACCAAAATGGTCATGCTGAACAATATTGCAGACAACATAATCTGCACGGCTTCTCCAGACCCTTTCTTGTCTGCCACATGTGCTCAGGGTGAACCTGCTCTCATCTGTGAAAACCACAGGGCACCAGTGGCGGACCTGACAATTATGGTGTTCAATGGCAAATGCCAATCAACCTCTATAGTGCTGGGCAGGGAGCACAGGGCCCACTAGAGGACGTCGGGCCCTCAGGTCACCTCCATGAAGTCTGTTTCTAATTGCTTGGTCAGAGACATTCACACCAGTGGCCTGTTGGAGTTCATTTTGTAGGGCACTGGCAGTGCTAATCCTGTTCCTCTTTGCACAAAGGAGCAGATCCAGATCCTGCTGATGGGTTAAGGACCTTCTACAGCCCTGTCCAGCTCTCTTAGAGTAACTGCCTGCCTCCTGGAATCTCCTCCATGCTCTTGCTGGGAGACACAGCAAACCTTCTGGCAATGGCACGTATTGATGTCCATCCTGGAGGAGTTGGACTGCCTGTGCAAAACTAGTGAAAAACAGTCAGAAAACATGAGTAGGAAAAAATGACAGTGACCTTCACCTGTAAAACCATTACTGTTTTGGGGGATCATCTCATTGTTGCCCATCTGGAGCACCTGTTGCTAATTTCAAAGCAGCTGAAACTATTTAACAACCCCCTCTGCTACTTAACTGACCAGATCAATATCCCAGGAGTTTAATTGACTTGATGCTATACTCTGATTAAAAAGTGTTCCTTGAATTCTTTTGAGCAGTGTGTATATAGCCAAGGAAACTCTCAGTTGGTTTCAAAGAAACAAAAATAACGCTGATAAAAATGGTCCAGCCAGTCACCTGACCTGAATCCAATAGAAAATCTATGGAAAGAACTAAAGATCAGAGTTCATAGAAGAGGCCCACGGAACGTTCAAGATTTGCAGACTGTGTGCATGCAGCTAGTTTCTCCATACAGGAGGCATGTTGAAGCTGTCATTTCCAACAAAGGATTTTGTACAAAGTATTAAATAAATTTCAGTTAGTGTGTTCAATACTTTTTCCCTGTGCCATTCCATTTTATTATGCAGGACTTAATTTATGAACTGATTTCTTTCGGTTTCTTTCTATGTGTGAATTGCATGGGTTGTTACCAACATGTGGTGAAATTTCATGTCAATAGCACCTTTAGGAATACTGTATATTCACCTAGAAAAATGGTGACGTGTCCAATACTTATTTTACCCGCTGTATAAATATATATATATATATACATATATATATATATATATATTGTATTTTATAATTTTTTTTTAGACCTGAACATAGTAAATTACATATTTACAGAATCACTCTCTGTTCTATTTACTTTTGCAACTCAACTGTTTTCTAATTTTTTCTCTTAGGCTCCATTCACAAACTACCAAAACTGAAGAGAATTTGATGAAATCAAGCATTATGCAGCTACAATAATGGAGAAAACTGGAAAATCTATTGGTCTTGTATAGCATTTACTAAAGTACAGCATTAATAAATCAAATCTAAAGATAAAATACAAGAGTTTGATATTTCCA